GATGAGGTCAAGAGGGTGAACTCCATTGTATGCAGAATTATCTGCTGTATATGGGTCAATTTCAAATATATCATCGTCTTCTTCCAGGTCATCATTGCTTTTTGGCAATTGTGTAGCATTTCTGCATTCTGCATTGATTTTAAGTAGTCTTCTGAGAAAGCACCATGGTATTTCCTCGACTGATTCGACAGTTTCATCAGACGTGCTGCTTTTGTTTATCTCTAAGAGACTCTGTAGACGGAGCTTGTTGGGATAAAATTTCTCCAGTCCGAGTTTTGAAAGAAGCTTCAACAGGTCTAAAGGAGACAAATGAAAATACCAAAGGAGCTTCAGTTTACAACTACTTTTTAGTGCATCTCTTCATGCTGTATGTTTGATATTCAATGAACATTTTGGTGGCCATATTTTATTTTTTCTCAAAGTAGCCTTGTCGTATCCACATTTAGTTTAAAATCTTTTTGTATAATCTTGTGATTTACATCCATCAAATAAATATAATTGTTCACTTCTGTGGAATATAGTTCCAGTGTCCACTGTGAGTTTTCCCAGTTCATCCCTGTACAAGTTGCAAATGAATTTGCATTGACCACACTGTAGTGGTTTGAAAGCAAAGGTGTTGGTCAGATGTCTCAGTATCTCTACACAAATCAAATGGAAACACTTTGAATTTCTAGAGATTACTACAAGTATTTAACAACATAGTATTTTTGTTTTGTAGTTTGGGTGAACAGAACCCTTTCAGTCATTAAAAAGAAATCATAGGAGGAAAAAGAGATGTGATCATTTCCTGTTTCCAAAGTGTCTGCACAACTGGATTACTTCTTTGTTGCCTTACAATGCTCTGCAGTGATTGTTGTGGCGTGAAAGTTTGTTTTTATGCATAAAATGTATTGTAATGCTTGTACGTAATATAATGCCCCTGACAATAAGATACACAGCGTTGTTGGTTTTATGTCAGTGATGCCCCAAAAATAGAGGAAAAAACCACAACAAAAGAGGATGTGTAATACTAGCCTCTGCATATTGTCTATCAAAATACAAAGCATGCTCATGAAGACGGTTTTCTCATCAATTATTGTTTTCGTCACTAAATGCAAATGATCAAAGTCTTCATTAAAGGTCCCCTCTTGCATTAAATCATTTTTTTCTTTCGCCATTGTTAATAGTTTTTCAGTGAATTAGACATATGGGCCTTTTTTTGACTGTAGACAAAAAAGGAGCTAGTAACATTGCCAGTACAGTTGTGACTCGATAATCTGACCCTTAACAATCCAAAACCCTGCTATCCGACAGGTTTTCAGGAAAAACGAACGGAACAGATTAAAAATATCCTTAACATACCGACAGCCTTGGATTCCGACTTCGACATGACATTTTACGTCACAAATAAGGATAACGGCGTATTATCTGACTAAACAATCCGACAGATTGGCTACGTTCAGACTGCAGGACTTAATGCTCAATTCAGATTTTTTTGGAAAATCCAATTTTTTTTGCGAGTTGGTTCACATTTCCAATTCAATGTGACTTGTATGTGATCTGCTGTGTGAACTTCATATGACCCAAAAGTGTCTAGCATGCGTGCTCAGTGTTTACAGAAGTAAACACGGATGGTGGCGGTGGCACCACCAATGGTGGAAACAGAACTGTAGCTGCTATCCTAAACTGGCATCAGCAGCAAGTACTGCCTGTGTGTTCTGGCCACTTTCACCCCGTCGGAGCATTTACTAAGAGTAGAAGTGCCAGGTTTCACATTTAGTGTAGGATTATCGAGTCATAACTGTATCTTACCTCCAGCAATTATTGCAATGTAGTACAACAATGAATAAATGTTTTGCAATGTTAGGTCAATACACATTTTTCTTCAAGTGGAAATGGAGGCACTTCAACCCTTCAAGAGACTTTTTGACCTTCTCCTATTCCTAAATTATTTCCCTGAGTTTATTTGTTTCTTTCCTTGGAAAATCTGTTGTATGTATATGTCTGAATGTTTTTTTGACTTTAAAGCATAAATAGGGGCACATATGCTCAGGAGAACTGGAACCTCCAGAGGACACCTTTAGTGCTTTGCAGTTGGTTTCTCATGACAATGTTTAAAACAACTCATGAACTACCAGGCCAGTAGTATAGGATGATGACTGAGCTGATATAAGCAGTCTGTGTTGGAATGTACCTGCACCCGCTTGTTGGTCTGTGTTCATTGTAGAGGCGATCCAACTTTTCCCTTAACTTGAAAACCTAAAGACAATAAAAATACATCTTAGTTTCACAGAACCCCTGTATCTGGAATTTCAGTGTAAAGCACATATAAACAAACTCTTTGTAGGTAATTAATTATAATAAATGTGATAATGAAATGCTAATGCATCATTACTTTTGAATTCATGAAGTTCAAAAATCAACAATAAAATAAAGTGTAATTTGTGGCACATACACAACTACAGAAAACATTGTACATGTAGAGGAAAAGGTGGAGTTTCACTGAATATCAGCAAAGTCTGAATGCAAATGTGATGCAGTGAGTTAAGACAGTAAAACTAAAGAGGCTGGCTTCTCCAGTCACGATTAATGATACAGAGGTTTCTGTTCTATTTACATGAGTGACAGAAAGTATTTAGATCCCTACTACATTCACACTGCACAGTCCTGTGTATTTGATTTTAAAAATGTATTGAATCAACACTTTCCCATTAATCTATACACTCAATAACCCACAGTGATAAAGTGGAAACAAACAACTTTTTGCAAATTTTTTGAAAATCTAAAACTAGAATGTCTTATTTACAGTAGCATTGGGGGATTTTTCCTAATTTTTCATGTGAGAATTTCTTCTTTTTAATACAATAATTTAGAATATGCAGCAAAAGCCTAATTCATACAGCATGAATGGGTTTTTTGTCTTTCCAGTCTATTGAAAATCTTAACCCTCATTTACAAAAGTATACTTTGCTGTGAGGTATGGATCAGGACAAGGAATGGAACCATTTCTAAATCCGTGAACCATCCAGGTGCACAGTGGCTTTAATAGCTGTGAAATGAAATTGTTTTTTGACCACCAGGACTCTTCATACAGATGGCTGTTCAGCTGAGCTGAGTCACCAAAGAAGTCAGGCCTTGTTCAGGGAGGAGACCAAGAACCCAACAGTCCCTGTAACAAAGCTTTGGAGGTCCTCTGCAGGGATGGACCATCTCAGCAGCTCTCCATCAATAACGACTTCATTATAGATTGGTAAGATGGATGTTTTGTCAGGTTGCATTTAAAGGACTCTTAAAAGCACAAAGAAATAGATTCTCTGATCTGAGCTTTCCATCAAACCTGATGACCCTGAGAGGACTGTTGGGACAAATGAGATAAACTGGCCAAATCCAGGTATTTTAAATCTGCAGAGACTTTCCCAAGAAGCTGGAAGCTGTGACTGCTGCCAAAGATGTGTTTAAAGAGTCCATCCAT